AGGTAGTAAAGGTGGAGTCCAGTGCAGGCTGAAGGGCAGAGTATACAGGTTGTCATTGGGTGTAGTGACCTTTCCTTGATGCAGGCCCGACATCTCAATTGGCACAAGTGCCCTGAGTCCGTGTGCTGTTTCCTAAGAGAAAATATGTGGATTTTAGAAGGAAGTCTGAAGTTTCTTCTGTCCTTTAACAAAAATATTTCATGTTTAGAACTCTTGGAGCAAAGGAGTGGATATAGGAATGAAGGAAATTGATACATTGATGCAGAATCCCTCACATTTCTTGACTGTTGTTTGCCCATTCCCTCTCTGTTGTGTAGAGCAGTAAATATGGAAATGACTCCTTTATCAAAAGTAAATATAGCTGGTTTATATCTTTGTGTGTTAACTGTGAGAGTGGGTGTTGGGAGAGAGGGATGAAAAAGAAGGTGTTCCTGGTAAAAAATGTCTAAAATATTTGGAATTGCAAACATTTTGGTGTGTGGTGTATGAGCAACACATTTGCCATCTGTTCTTTCAACTATAATTGTGCCTTCCACAACACTCATCATAATCCTACTTTAATGAGAAGGTCCTAGGAAAGAAGTGAACCTCTTTGATTGGGCAACTTCAGCATCTGTCGTCCTTCTCTCAGATGTCCTTTCCTCAGTCCTCACAGCACTGTGGGTTGAACTCACATCTTTTCCAGACTAAACGTTACCTCTGGAAAAAGTGTATTATCAGAACCGTGGGATTTGAGGTTTTCTAAGATGAAATTCATAATTTAAACTTCAAATGTGTTTGGTCTTAGAGGGAAATGGCTTGGGGTATATCAAATTTTTACATATTTCTTTTTAGTTTTACTATAATCATTATATTTTCTTGTTTGATCTTACCAGTGGATATTCCAGTCTGTTGTTACGACTTGATATTTTGGTCTAACTGAAGACTGGTGACTGGGGGAAATGACTTTGGTTTGAATATAGTGCTTACCCAATACAGTTGTGCGTGCCATTCTGCTGTTGTTAGTTTACTCGTAGTCTTGTACTAGTTTGAAAATAGCTAATCTGATTGGGTAGTAGTAAATATTTGGATGAATGAAGTGCATCATAACTAAGTGCATTATAACTTTTCTTTAAAAGGGCTCAAATTTTCACAAATTTTAGTTTTTATAAATACTTTATTAAGTATGAACATGTTTATTCACAAATAGCATATACTTTGGAACCTCGGTTTACTAATGGACTAAATAGAATTAAGTTTCTCTTAGTAGTAGTAGAGGAGGAGCGCAACAGCCCACAAAGGATGGAATTGTGATAAAGGCAGTGTCAGGACCCCCAGGGTCCCCCAGTGGTTGTCACTTGTAATGTCTAGAATCAGCTTAGATGTTTATGTGCTTTTGAGTTTCAGCAACAGACCATGGTGCTTGAGGCTGTGTGTGGAGCGACCTCCTGCTTGAGCCAGCTGCTGGGTAAACGGGCGTTGGTAAACAGGGCTGCAGGACTTGTCTGGAGTTGTCCATGCTTGGCTCCCTTGTGGTTTTGCTCAGCTTCCTCCCCCAGGAATGTCCCTTCTCCCTGGGCTACTTCTCTAAAGCTTCGCACCTTCAGGACCCCACACGGACGTGCTCCCTCAGTGGAGCCTTCTGTGACTGCCTCAGCCTGAAGTCATTTCCCCTGATGTCTGAAGCAATTTTATTGTCGATACAGTTCATTTGGTGTTTGTCACTTCCTCCCTCAGTCTTCTTTTCTATTGCTGTATGCAGTTACATGTTTTTATGTCTTGCCTCTCTAAATAAGCCCCATTCCTTGTCTTCCACTTTTGTATTCTCTAGAATCTTAGTATTAGTGCCTGTATACATAGGCCCTCTGTGTATATCTGTTATTTTGGTAGTCAATGAATTATAGAATTGTATCGCTGAGGGACTTTGGCCAATTTGCCACATTTTCTTGATATGTTGTATATTTGTTTCTTTGAGCACTGGCAACTTCTAAGAGAGACTTAAGCCATTGTTAGTTTTTTCACTTACTGATTCTTTCCGGGGTAAAACCAGATCTGTTTATAAGTGAGTTTGGTGGTCACTGTCCAAGTTGTTATACGGAAAGCAACTGGCTTAGTTTGTTGGCTAAATTGGGTATGAACATGGTTCAATTTATTTATTTATTTATTTTTTGTGAGGAAGATCGGCCCTGAGCTAACATCAGCCAGTCCTCCTCTTTTTTGCTGAGGAAGACTGGCCCTGGGCTAACATCCATGCCCATCTTCCTCCACTTTATATGGGACGCCGCCACAGCATGGCTTGCCAAGCAGTGCGTTGGTGCGCACCTGGGACCTGAACCGGTGAACCCTGGGCCACCGCAGCAGAGCGCGCACACTTAACCACTTGCACCACTGGGCCGGCCCCGAACATGGTTCAATTTAAAGGTACCTTCTTTAAATGGATTTTTTTTTTTTTTGTGAGGAAGATCAGCCCTGAGCTAACATCCATGCCAATCCTCCTCCTTTTCTTTCCCTTTTTCTCCCCAAAGCCCCACTAGATAGTTGTATGTCATAGCTGCACATCCTTCTAGTTGCTGTATGTGGGACGCGGCCTCAGCATGGCCGGACAAGCGGTGTGTCGGTGCGCGCCCGGGATCCGAACCCCGGACCACCAGCAGCGGAGCGCGCACACTTAACCGCTACGCCCTGGGGCCGGCCCCTTGGAATTTCTTTTAAATGGGTTTTCCTGGCAGAATGCAGTGTTAAGCTCATTGATTCTCAAGTTGAAATGTCTTCACTAAAAGATGGTTTTCTTTAGCACAGTACAAGCTTTTAATATGTCAACATTGCATTCAAAGGCTGGTTAAAAACTGAAAGTACTATTGCCAAGCTCCCAAACTGCAGGCTCAGAAATCCCTTTTGGAAGAGGAGGAGTGGGTGTAAGAAGGTAGGAGGAAGCTAAGTTACCCAGAAGGCAGCTTTCTTCTCTGGGGCAAATGGATAAGGCCCTCACTTGGTTTTTGTTATTGACACAATTTCTATGTTAAACAAAAAGAGTGAGCAAATGATTACGATAGTTATCTCTCTTACAAAAGTAATTTTTCCTTTAAAGAGGAGACATCAAAGAACTTTTCTCTCGCACTGAAGAAATTACTTCTGGAAGAGTTCATTTTGTTCAGCCTTTCTTGATTTTTGTATTTGATAAACGTTGAATGTGATTAGGAAATGTCTTGATAATATTGCAGATAGTTTGCAAAAAAGTAAGAAGACATTTGGAAATTGCTGCTCTTCTGACACAGTGATTTGAACCTGTTGAGAGTTGAAACGGGGTTCTTCCTCAGTTCTCTTGTAGAGATTTCTTAGTGCAGAGATAAAAATTGAAGGCTTGCTGATGTGGGCTCTTTGGCCCAAATAGGATTTTAAAATAGGGAAGCTTCACATAAAAATCCAGGTTGCTGGCTTCTCTTGAAAAACCAGAAGCATGAGCTCTCTGGGCCTGCATCTCCTCGGAGCCACAGTGAGCTCTCTCCCTGCCTGTGAGAAGGCACAGGTCCCCGTTGAACTGCACAGTTGGCCCGAGCTTTGGGCAAACCAAAAATTTGTATAAATTTTTGTGTATAAAATGTGACAATGTCATTTAATCAGTTATGTGCAAAAGCACTATTAATTTACATGTGGACTTTTCTCCCCAGAGTTACCTTTTCCTATTAATATTTTCCCCAGCTTCTTATTTTGAGAAATTTCCATTTTTAGAAAAGTTGATGTAGTGAACACAACTGTTCACCTAGATAAATTAACACATTTGCTTTATCTCTCTTTCGCATACACAAACAGCATTTTTTTTGCAGAACCATTTGAAAGTAAGCTGTGTATATCATAACACTTTTGCCCTAAATACTAAAGCATGTATTGCCTAAGAATAGATATTCTCCTACATAATGTCATCATCAGACCCAAGAAATTTAACACTGATAGAATAATATTATTTAATATGTAATGCATGGTCACATTTCCTTAAATATTCTTTATAGCTATTTTTATTTCAATCCAAAAGCCAATGCTTGCTTTCCTTGCTCCAGACTTTAAATTAACCATTTCTTCAAGGAGCATGGATTCCTTTTTAGTAGGGAATGGTATTTAGAAACCAAGATCTGGATGCCAAGTTTGCTCATTGCTACTGAGGTGTCATTGCTTCTAGGCCTTTCCTATGGATAGAGCTAGGACATATATCAAAGTTTTTAATAAAGTTGGAATGCTTCTGTTTTTCAGAGGCTAGAGAAACTTTGTAGTTCATGCTGAAAAACTAGGGTATGGTGTCTATAAGCAGTTTCAGAGACTAAAATTATGTCAACTTTTTGCAGTCTTCTTTTCCTTAACCCTCCAGAAAGTTAAGAGTTTTCTGTGCTAACAGTGTGCAGAATTCATTAGCCGTACATATCTCTGAAAGACAGGCCAAGGTAAGTGAGCACAGAAACAAAAAGCTGGACTCATTGGTTTATTTAGTAAGCTTTTATTCCATAATTCCAAAAACGTTTATTGAACAGGAGCTTTGTTTTAGGCATTGAGTAAGGTCCTTATTCTCCTGTGGATACAAAGGGAAATTGGGCTTGGTCATAACTCTAGGCTCTGAAGTTGATGGCTGTAGCTGCGTAGTAAGCCTTAATTATAGTAAGAGGTAGAGCGCTTCCTCCCAATTTAGTCTTCTTTTCAAAATGATGGTAGCTATTTTAGTTCTTTCGCCTTTCTATATAAATTTAAAAATTATCTTATTTTTGGATATGAAAAAAAATCTTGCTGGGATTTTGATAGGAGTTATGGTAAACCTCTATATCCATATAGGGAGAATTGACATTACTATGTTGAGTCTTCCAATCCATGAACATCGAATTCTTTTTCAATGAAAGCTTAAGGTGTAAAGACAAAGATAGTTGTGATGTAACATGTTGACATGTATTAAGAGGTGGTTTTATTCCAGGGAGAATATCAATGACAAACTGTCAGGTTGCATCTTTGTCCAATTCCTCATTTTAAAAATTTATCCGTAGGCCTATGAAAGGAGGTTCCCTACATGTCCTTTGATTCCAATGTTTGTGGACAGTGACACTGTGAGTGAATTCAAGAGTGAAGATGGGGCTATTCACGTCATAGAAAGGCGCTGCAAACTGGATATAGATGCACCTAGACTGTTGAAAAAGGTAACTGAAAAGGACATCTTAGAGGCAATCCCCCAAAACCAAAACAAATTGATGCTTGCACCTTCTATTGCAATTGGGTGTTATTAATAAACTTTTTATGTCTTTTTTAAAGATTGCAGGAGTTGATTATGTTTATTTTGTCCAGAAAAACTCACTGAATTCTCGGGAACGTACTTTGCACATTGAGGCCCACAATGAAACGTTTTCTAATCGAGTCATCATTAATGAGTACTGCTGCTACAGCGTGAGTAATCTGGTGTTCAGTGAAAGATGTGAGAGTGTGCAGGCATACAGCTTCCAAGAGTTGTTTGGCCATCTCTTTAAACAGTGCATTTCTTTATCTTAGAAGGCAGTTCTTCATGAAATATTGTCACGTTTCCGATTAGTGGGGTAAGCAGGGTAGTAGGTGTGGTTTACTGCAGAACGGCTTGTGTTGTTGTAGCAGTTAAGGTAGCCAAGTGATGCCTTGATTTGTTTTTTAATCTTACTTTAATATGCCACTTATTTTCTGGCCACACTGCGACACTTGAAAGATGTATGTTGAAGGACCTAAGATATTGTGCACCTCTAAGATGAGAGCCGAGTACATCTGTCTGCCCCACCGTCTTCACTGCTTATCACCCGCTTTCAAGACTTCTCTTCCCACGTTGTTAGAATAGCCTAATAGACGCTCTGCTTCTGCCCTTACCCTCCTACAGTATATCCTCAACGCTGAATCCAAAGTGATCCATTTAAAGTATGTCAGATCATGTCATACTTTTTCTGGGCTCAAAACTTTGCAGTGTCTCTGCATCTCACTCAGAGGAAAAGCCCAGAATCCTTACAGTGGCTTACAAGGCTCTACATTTTCTCTTAATCACACCTCAGCTGTCTTGCTTGCTTGTGCACAAGGCTGCCCACCTTCTTGCTGTTCCCTCATCATACAGGCATGCTTCCTGTAAGGACCTTTGCTCCAGGGCTCCCTCTGCCAGGATCACTTTGTCCCCAGATCTCAGCTTGACTCCCGCCCTCACCTCCTTCAGTCTTTGCTCAGCTTTCCCCTTCCCCTTGAAGCCAGCCCTGAACAGTCTGTTTAATTCTGCAACCTGCCCCCCATTCCTTTTAACCCTGTTTCAACTTTTCTTTTTTCCATTGCACTTATCTTCTGATGATGATATAATTTCTTACTTATTATGCTTCCCGTTAATTGCCTATCTCTCCTTGCTAGACTGTAAGCTTCACAAGGCAGGGGTCTTTGTTTTGTTCGTGATGGAGAACACCACTTGATAAATATGGTGAATGAATGAATGAATGAACTAAGAATGAAAAGGAAGCTGTCCTTTTAATAGTCATTTTTGGAATATTTTAGAATATTACTTGGGCTTTCATGATTTTGAACCTCTCTGTGTAATTTTTCCATCTGCCGTTTTCATGATAGTAACATTATTAGTAAAATAAGTGTTTTTTCTGTTGATTGAGGAGCAGACAAATGATTTTCTCCAATGTCAGTATAGTTAAAGGGAATGCTTTCTCATTTATCTGCAGGTTCACCCTGAAAATGAAGATTGGACCTGTTTTGAACAGTCTGCAAGTTTAGATATTAAATCTTTCTTTGGTTTTGAAAGTACAGTGGAAAAAATTGCAATGAAGCAATATACCAGTAACATTAAAAAAGTGAGTCTATCTTGGAATTTTAGGAAAAGGGTGGGCAGGAGTCTCAGATGATCTGAGCTGGCAGTCTTTTTATTTTTTGTGAGGAAGATCAGCCCTGAGCTAACATCCGATGCCAATCCTCCTCTTTTTTTTTTTTTTGGCTGAGTAAGATTGACCCTGGGCTAACATCTGTGCCCATCTTCCTCCACTTTATATGGGACGCTGCCACAGCATGGCTTGACAAGCCGTGCGTCGGTGCACGCCCGGGATCTGAACCTGCGAACCCCGGGCCACCACAGGGGAGCGCCCAAACTTAACCGCTTGCGCCACTGGGCCGGCCCCCAAGCTGGCAATCTTTTCGGAAGGCTGAGAACGGATTAGTCAGGGACCCCAGTCATTTCTTGAAGAGGAAATGCTTTGACTTTTCCCCATGCCTTATATCCCACAGAGTGGAAGAGAGAGATGAGGATTCAGGTTGCCAGTGGAGGAAAGGAGGGGAGTGTAGCCACTGTCTTATGGCCTTCTCTGCTTGGAGTTGCTGGGAAAGGTGCAAGGTGCGGGGAGGCAGGAGTAGCTAGCTTACAGCACCCCAGGTGCCACCTCAGGGTCTGCTGGTGGGAGGTCTGCTGTACTGAAGAGATACGACCAGGTGATCTCTCAGGGGTCCCCAGCCCTTAGGTGACTAGGTTCATCGTCCATGGAAGAACTTTCCTTCTCATTTTTATGCTGCCGCTGATTATTGCTGTGGAATTTTGATTTTGAACTTTATCATTATGGGATTATGGAGTGCTTTTTTTTGAAGGCTTGTTTTAAATGGTGTTGGAAAGGGTTTGGATTGAGACACAAAGCGCACATTGAGTCCAAGTGTGGTAAATCAGTGCTTTTAATTAGTCATGTAAAAAATTCCCTCTCTTTAGATATGTTTCCTAGACCTCTGGAGAAGAGGAAGTAAGTAATTATGAAAAAAACAAAGGCATTTGGCTTTTCTGTTTCTTATTTATTCCGTAGCAGTTCAATTTTTATTAGTGTTTTAAAAACCTGTGATGGGGGCCGGCCCCCTGGCTTAGCGGTTAAGTGCACGCGCTCTGCTGCTGGCTGCCCGGGTTCGGATCCCGGGTGTGCACCGATGCACCGCTTCTCCGGCCATGCTGAGGCCGCGTCCCACATACAGCAACTGGAAGGATGTGCAACTATGACATACAACTATCTACTGGGCCTTTGGGGATAAAAAGGAGGAGGATTGGCAGTGGATGTTAGCTCAGAGCCGGTCTTCCTCAGCAAAAAAAAAAAAACAAAAAACAAAAAACAAAAAACCTGTGATGGACTAATAGTTTGAATGTTGAATATATACTAACCTTAGAACTGATTTTGTTTTAAAGGGAAAGGAAATAATTGAATACTATCTGCGCCAGTTAGAAGAAGAAGGCATAACGTTTGTGCCCCGTTGGACTCCACCTTCTGTTGCGCCCTCTTCAGAGACATCCACGTCCTGCAAGAAGCAAGCCGCAGCCTCGGCTGTTGTCCCAGACGCTGCTCTGAAGGAGGGGCTGAACAGCGAGGCCCCCAGTCACCCAAGTGGGGCTCCTGAGCCCGCGGTGGGCACCCCTGACGGTGGGTCTGAGAGGCTTTGTTCTGACAGCAAGACTGGTGAATTACGTGGAGTCATTTCCTCTCTGCTTACTCTAGTATCCTTGTTTCCTTAGGGCATTTCGATGTTACATAAGGAAAATGGATCTCATTACTGTCCCTTTTCCTCTAGCTTATGTAACACATTCATTTTATTTTTTTTCTTAGAATGAAGAAACAGGATTTTTTTTTATTTCAGTTGAAGGTATCTTTAGTTAATGTAAGGTAGCAGCTAATCCTTTTATCACAATTATATCATCATCAAACACTTAAGCTTACTACGTGTCAAGTACTTTATGAGTATTAGTTCATTTGATAATGGTTCCTTTTAGGTAGGACATGCTTACTATTCTCATTTTATACATGATTTATCATGAGAAATTGAGTAACTTGCATACAGTCACATAGCTAGTAGGTGGCAAGGCTGGGATTAAGCCCAGGTGGCTGTCTCCAATGTCTGCTTTTAGCCACTGTGCTCTGCTGCGTTTCCTGTCTGTTACACATACACACAAACACACACACACACACACAACTTTGTTATTTCTAAGTATTACCCATTGTAAAAAGTTCAGAAAACATAGAAAAATAAGAAAACAGAAAATTCTACCACTCAGAAGTTTTGTTAAACCGTTGGTATTTATCTTTCCATACATTCTTCTCTGCAGCTAAACTGTGTTGGTTGTTAGCTTTCAAGAGGTGGCAGATGGCAGATATTTTAATTGGATTGAGACTGCATTTTATTTTTCACTTTGTGAATTTTTCTTTGCTATACTTAATTTATTTCATCCTTCCAGTTTATGTTACCTTATTATGAAAAAGATTTCTTGTATTCTTGAACATAGTAGCTCTGTTCATAATAGGTTTAGATCCATTTGTTTATTTTATTTCATGTTTTTATATCATGTAAGGACTCTTTATATAACTTTGAATTAAAAGTTATTAAATATCTGTTAGAACCATTGTTCTATTATGAATAGTATTGAGATTTTGCAAATAGAGGTGATCTGATGGTAATCAGAGAGAGAGCATTGAATCAGCAAGTGTACCTGTGGCTTGGTCAGTGATTTTATTTTATTTTATTTATTATTTTATTATTTTATTTTTTTTTGTGAGGAAGATCGGTCCTGAGCTAACATCTGCCAATCCTCCTCTTTTTGCTGAGGAAGACTGGCCCTGGGCTAGCATCCATGCCCGTCTTCCTCTACTTTATATGGGATGCCGCCACAGCATGGCTTGACAAGCGGTGCGTTGGTGAGCGCCCGGGATCTGAACCGGCGAACCCCGGGCCGCCCCAGCGGAGCACGTGCACTTAACCACTTGCGCCACTGGGCCAGCCCCAGTGATTTGATTTTAAAGACTGTCATTGAGGTTCTCCAGGGTGGCTGGTTTAAATCTGCCATCCCTGCAGTTTCATTCAGCTCTGAGACTCTAGGATCACACATGAACTTCGCTGAGCAGGACTTCAGAATACTTCAAGTTCCAGCATTCTTTGTTGTAAATGATTTCATGTAACTTATATTCCAGACAAACTAGATGCAGACTACATCAAGAGATACCTGGGTGACTTGACTCCACTACAGGAGAGCTGCCTGATCCGGCTTCGCCAGTGGCTCCAGGAAACCCACAAGGGAAAGGTGAGAATTGGCACCCAGCGTGCAGTGGTGCTGTCTGGGAAACCCTGGACCCCTGACCCCATTCATAGTTACCTAGAGTCAGTGTTCCCAATTGCCACGTTGGGAATGTAAAGTCATTGACTCTGTATCTCTGTGTGGCATCCAAGTCTTTCGTGGCCCTTGTGTGTGTAATTAGCTGTATTTTTCTAGGTTTTACAGAGAATGGTCTCATTTAAAAACAATTACATGTCAAGTTACAAAGCAACGTTATGTTCCAAGTATTCATACATTTTAATTTTCAGAAGATTTGGAAAGAGTTCTTAGCTTATTTAGAGATTAGAAATGTTTAAGCTTTGATTCTGAGGTTTTTGGTAAAATTTTAGCCTCATAAGGAATTAGATTTTTATAATAAGCCTCATCCTAATGGAGACTCAGAGGCAGATTTCTTTGTCTCGCTTGTTACTGACATTACTTAGTAAAGGGAAGCTGGGCATTGCATCCCGTGGGCCTACTCTCTCATTCTGTTAGTCTTGGTTACTAGAGCCCAGATATCCGAGGACTGTTTAGTATCAATTATTGAGAAAACAACCACAGGAATAATAGCTATCATTTGTTGTGCATTTACCATGTACTAGACATGGTTTTAAGCTTTTTAATAAATCCTCCAACAGCCCTACGAGGTGGGTGCTATTTTTATCACCACTGTTGTGCACACGAGGAAACTGAGGCACAGAGAAGTTGAGTAACGTGCCCAAGGTCTTACAGCTAGTAAGTGGTGAGGCCATTTGGTTCCAGAACCCACATTCTTAACCACTTCCCTGTAACAGTGGTCCTTTCTGAGTGAGGATGATGCCTGCTGGGTGCTTGGAGTTGTTTTCCCAGGAGTGGGTAGTGAGTCAGCTCCAGCTCCCACTTACTCCTCGTCGCCTGTGGATCAGTGGTATGCATTAGTGAGCGTGTCGCCGTGGAGGAAGACAGCTGGTCCGGATGGGACTCAGGCACGGTCTTGGCCTTATTTTTACTCAGGGAAGCTGACCTGTTGATTCCCAATAGCGGGATCTAGAGACGATTCCTGAATGTTAGGAATATCACCACTACTACCAAACCAACAGCACTTTTTTGTATTCTCTTTAAGTGTAATATGTATACAGAAAAGTTCACATCATAAAAATTCATAGTTCAACTCAGTGAATTGAAGCATTTGATGTTTAAGAAATTATACCTTCACTCTACTGAAACTAAAATGGAATGCTCTAAAGATTATTTAGACTAATACTGATTTTCTAAAGTGTTAAGGAAGGTTTTTCTGGTGATGGCTAATTTTAAATAGTCTAATAATGCAGCTCACTCTTGATAAGAAGTGTAAGTTTTAGTCTTGTTCACTTAGTAACTTGGTTTTTTCCCTTAGCAACTTTTAACATTGTTTAGAAACATCTCTTTCTCTTAATAGATCCCAAAAGATGAGCATATTCTTCGGTTCTTACGTGCCCGGGACTTCAATATCGACAAAGCCAGAGAGATCATGTGTCAGTCTTTGACTTGGCGAAAGCAGCACCAGGTAGACTACATTCTTGATACCTGGAACCCTCCCCAGGTCCTTCAGGACTACTACGCGGGCGGCTGGCACCATCACGACAAAGGTAACGTGTGAACTTGGCATTTAAGTATGCTTAGAGACCTCCTTCTACAGAATTAAGTGGGGCCCCATGAGTGTATTGTCCTTTCCATCTCTCAGCTTGAACAAATTGATGATACGTTTTGTCTCATCACACCAGTACTGCACTCCTCACCCACCCCGGAAATGCCCTGTGGAGTAGTGGAGGAAGGACCTGAGACTGTGCTTGCTTCTTCCTCACAGCTCACACTGCCCTTGGGCAGATTACTTCACTTCTTTCTTAGTTAAATGGAGTTTGTTTTGATTTATTTAAAGAATGAGGGGGCCCGGCCCGGTGGCACAAGCAGTTAAGTGCACGCGCTCTACAGCAGCGGCCCTGGGTTCAGATCCCGGGCGCACACTGATGTGCTGCTTGTCAGGCCATGCTGTGGCGGCGCCCCATATAAAGTGGAGGAAGATGGGCATGGATGTTAGCCCAGGGCCAGTCTTCCACAGCAAAAAAGGAAAAAAAAGAGGAGGATTGGCAGTTGTTAGCTCAGGGCTGATCTTCCTCACAAAAAAAAAATAAAAAAATGAAACTTTGATGGCAGAGTTTTTTCAGTATGACTGTGTTAGTAAAGGGACTTTTCAATGACTTAAACCCTGACAGTATCTGTAAAAATGTATAGCCAGGGGCCATCCCGGTGGTGCAAGCGGTTAAGTGCGCACGTTCCGCTGCGGCGGCCCGGGGTTCGCCGGTTCGGATCCCGGGTGCGTACCGACTCACCGCTTGTTAGGCCATGCTGTGGCGGCGTCCCATATAAAGTAGAGGAAGATGGGCACGGATGTTAGCCCAGGGCCAGTCTTCCTCAGCAAAAAAAAGGAGGATTGGCATTGGATGTTAGCTCAGGGCCGATCCTCCTCAAAAAAAAAAAAAAAAAAAAATGTATAGCCAGGTTTTCTACATCAAAACAGTGAAGAACTTCAGCTCCTTTTTTGGGAGGAAGCAAAACATAAATCAGGAACAGTGATAGACCTAAAATGAAGAGTGATTTCAGGAAGCGGGATTCATTCGGGTTGCAGTGCGCAGCATGCCGTACGGGAAAACCTGCATTGTCAAGGCTTGCTCACTGTCTCCTCATTTGAAGTTTGAGTGTGGGCAGAATGGAATCACAGAGAGGCCACTGAGATTGCTCTGGGACTCCCTCTTCCACTGCCAAGCAGGTCCTTTCAAAACTGAACAGCTCTGATGTTTTCCTGACTTCATCTTTTGTACTTTTCCAGATTAATTTATAGCATTATTAATTTTTACTAGAAGCATATATTTATTCCACTTTCCAACCCTCAAAAGATTAAAAAACTTGGTAGTAGGACATTAACAAATGTATCTTATTAAATGTTTGGAGAGACTTTTTATAAATCTTCCTTTCAACAAGATTTGGGAGCACAAAACCCTTTTTGCTTTAAGTAGGACAGGTCTAGATCCAGATTCTCCTAGGAGGTGAAGTTTACCAGGTGATAAACACAAGGTAAATGTTGGACCCTTGTGTCAAGATGACAGCATTGACCCGCCATTAACAACAGAAGACAAGTCATATTTCCTCTTGAGGAGTGTAATCCAAGCCTTTTCTTTCTGCTACTTCCCTGTGGCCCCGAGTGGCAGGAGTCTAGGAGCTGTTGACTCTAGGGATACACTCTGGCCACCAAGATCTCTTTCTTTTGGTGTAGCTGGCCCATGATGACAGAGAGTTTATATAATGAGTTAGGTTTCTCTCAGGCTCCATGCGTTAGACCTCCGGGCTGTCAAGTAGTAGAGCCAACATGTTCTGGTTGGTGTGGATGTAAAGATTTCCAGAAAGTCCTCATTTATCTTGGTCCTTAGGGTGGGAGTTAAGGGAAGCTGGCTTTTAAAAAATCTTGAGGGCCGGCCCCGTGGCTTAGCGGTTAAGTGCGCATGCTTCGCTACTGGTGGCCCAGGTTCGGATCCCAGGCGCGCACCGACGCACCGCTTCTCCGGCCACGCTGAGGCTGCGTCGCACATACAGCAACTAGAAGGATGTGCAACTATGACATACAACTATCTACTGGGGCTTTGGGGGTAAAAAAAGGAGGAGGATTGGCAATAGATGTTAGCTGAGAGCCGGTCTTCCTCAGCAAAAAGAGCAGGATTAGCATGGATGTTAGCTCAGGGCTGATCTTGCTCAAAAAAAAAAAAAAAAAACTTGATATAAATTTTTTGGTAACCTGTGAAATGAAAAAAAATTTTTTCCCTAGAAAATGAAGTTTTACAAGTACTTTGTATTCATAGAAGTGTGAGTTTTCTGTTGTTGCCCTGCTGTTGAAAATCAGAGCTGTGTTCAGCCCTGCGGCTGTTTCAGTGAGGAGGCTGAGCCCAGCGCTGCCCATGGCCAGCATGGCCAGTGCAGGTTAGAGCCGGGTGGAGGCTCCCCTCCTCCTGGGCAGAGCTGTCTCCAGGACCCTGCTGAGCTGCTCCATCAGTCGGCTTTTGTTTTTTTCTTATACAATATTGGGAAGAAAAATATTGCACCCTCCCCCGCCCCCCAGAAACCAGCTGCTACTTCTAAGAAGGAAAAGCTTGAAGAGCTTCATATGGACTATGGGAGAGCACATTTCCCTGTTAAGGTTCTGAGCCTTGTGGCTGTGTCAGGAACGGTGCTGGTGATCTTTTCCCTCCCCTCTCCTGCAGATGGGCGGCCCCTGTATGTGCTCAGGCTGGGGCAGATGGACACCAAGGGCTTGGTGAGAGCCCTCGGGGAGGAGGCCCTGCTCAGATACGTAAGTGCTCCCTTTTGGCTCCACAGTTTCTTTCTCTGCCAGCAGGATTGGGATATTACAGCTGTCCTGTCATAACAAGCATTTATTGCCTTTGTAACTAGAAAGGAAAATCTATTAATATGTTTTAAAAATTTCAAAAGAGGACACAAAAGTTATAAAAATGTTTTTCACGGGGAAGCTTCAACAAAAAAATCTGTATATCCACTCAAGATGACTACTTGGGAGCTGATTCTGAGTCATCTTTCCCTTCACTCCCACATTGAGCTGGTCCCTGCTCTCCTACCCCAGCTCTCCTTCTGAGATGTCTCCCAGATCAGACCTCTTAATAGTGTTCTTTCTACTGGCATTTCTTCAATCCAGCCTCTTAGCGTCTTTCATCTGCACTATTATAAATGCCTCCTTCCCTGTCTCCCTGACTTCAGGCTCAGCTCTTCCACTGCAGCCTCCACAGTGTGGGCAGTTGGAAGAGAAGAATATTGTCCTTAAATTAAAAAACAAACAAAAACTTTAAAAGGCACATCTATGATCCCGTTATCCTAAAATATCCACTTTGGCATTTTGTTATGTATTCTGTTAGCTCCCGCCACTGTGTTCGTACGTGCACACATATATGTCCACATGTGCACACATTGCGCATAAAGATATGGATGGACCACTTCTATAGGGGAGGATTTGTCAATCCAAATCGAGGGGTTCCCTTTAGCCATCCTTCAAGTCTGTTCTAAGACTGCCCTTTCTCTTGCCTGGTACGTGTAGAATCAAAATGTTTCCCAACTCAACAGTCACTTACCTCCGACTATTCCAGATGCGCTTCTTCTAAAGACAGGTGAGCGGGTCATGCCCTCCCTGCCCATCTGGTGACTGCTCCTAACTGATCTCACTCGGGGTAGCTGTCACCTTTGCCACAGAGAACAGTGCTCATTCTCTTTTGAGAGTGAGGTATTCTTTTTTGTCGGTGATCTGTTTGTGTGTGTGAATGTGTCAGAAAATCTAAGTAGATCACTTACCTAAAATGGTTACCTAAAATATGCTGTAGTATTGTCACTCTCTTTCATAGCTTGATACAGTAGTATTACCTTCTTAGAATAATCATGGGATTTTTATGGCCCTTTTATCCATAGGTTCTCTCCATAAATGAAGAAGGGCTCAGGCGATGTGAAGAAAATACAAAAGTCTTTGGTCGGCCTATCAGGTAGGTGTGCGATTTTGTTTTTCCTTCAGTTTATTGAGAATATGAGTTAAATATTTCTAGTTGATTTGTAGAACCAAAATCTCGTTTGATTTTTAGGTTTTGAGGACCAAATCTAAATAGTTTACTATTTTCCATGTGTTCTAAAAGGTAGAAAATAAACATGGAATATGGACAGTTGTGAGGACCGTTGCTGGATTTTGGTATTTCTAACCCCCTAGGCGTTGCTGTCACCTCTTAGTCTGCAGGGTCTTTGGGAGCCCAGGGTTGCAGGTTTTTGGGGGTGCGGGGGGGAAAAAACTTTTCCTGTGTTCCTAAACCATACTTCTAGTTATGGTAAACTGTTTTGACAATGTACAGTGATTCAGAGGTTGGCACTGAGAAGGGTATAGACGGGTAACTGGGTATGTTCCCTGAGGGCAGGGATTGGGGTTTTTGGTTACTGCTGTATTTTCGGCTCCTGAGACAATGCTTGACTCAAATATTTACTGAAAAATAGCTTATTGTAGTTCAGTCACACTGCATATTAAAATGCCAGCTACGGGGCCGGCCCCGTGGCTTAGCGGTTAAGTGCGCGCGCTCCGCTGCTGGCGGCCCGGGTTCAGATCCCGGGCGCGCACCGACACACCGCTTCTCCGGCCATGCTGAGGCCACGTTCCACATACAGCAACTAGAATGGATGTGCAACTACGACATACAACTATCTACTGGGGCTTTGGGGGAAAAATAAATAAATAAAATCTTTAAAATGCCAGCTACGTGCCCTGTTGGGTCAATAGATGTGGCTCAGTGTGTTGCCTTACTGGCTGGGTCACTGAGTTTGTCAGACTGAGGTTTTTATTCACTGTCGATTAGCCGTTGATTGGTTTGATATTTCAGGGATTGGTCCTGCCACACTGATCCCATGTGCTTTATACAAATAGATGTAAGTATGGTTCATAACACTGTAATTAAAAAACTGGTACATCTTTGGAAATGGATATAAATGACTATTTTATAATGTCAGAAAGAAAAAAAAACAGCTATAGGACACAGTTTGCTAAATATGCTGTCTGTTGAATAAAATGCACGTCTGCACCTCCTGTAGTTCGTGGACCTGCCTGGTGGACCTGGAGGGACTGAACATGCGCCACTTGTGGAGACCTGGCGTCAAAGCCCTGCTGCGCATCATTGAGGTGGTGGAGGCCAATTACCCCGAGACGCTGGGCCGCCTGCTGATCCTTCGGGCTCCCAGGGTGTTTCCTGTCCTCTGGACACTGGTAGGTTTAGGTGCTGTTTCACAGTAACTGTTAGCCATTTGGAAGGCAGATATACATGCATTCATGTACATATGTCTATGACTTTAAGTCATAGGAAAAAACAAAATAAGCACGAAAAGATATAAAATTTCTCAAATTGTTTAGGGGAAGAAAGAATTCCTGAGTGTCCTAATGTCATGCAAGTGGACTTTACAGAAAAAGTCTATCAAACTCGAATTCCCTTTCCCCCCCACCCCTACCCACCCACTCATAATATGACATTGTAATTTTAATCTTTGAAAATCAGACAGCAAAGCAAATAGGACTACATGGTCTTTTCTAATTACTTACAGGTTAGTCCATTCATTGATGACAATACCAGAAGGAAATTCCTTATTTATGCAGGAAATGACTACCAGGGTCCTGGAGGCCTGCTGGATTACATTGATAAAGAGATTATTCCAGATTTCCTGGGCGGAGAGTGCATGGTATGTATTTAGGCCAGTAGCTGCACATTTGGCTACGTAAAGGCTAGGAAAGGTGGATGTTGGTTTGCACGAATGATTTTCAGAACTTGTAGTGTGGATTGTTTGTTTTTCTTTTTTTGGCTGGCATCTCTCTGATTCAGGGTGAAACTAAATAGAACCATTTAGGTAATTGTTGATAACATGCACATTTCTGCACTGTTAAATACTAATGAGAATTTATTTTAGAATCTAATATAATTGCAGCTTGCTTTGATCACTCGGCGTTGTGTGAATCAGATTGTCAAACTGTTTTAGAGGAGCTGTACTTTTTTTTTTTTTGCTGTCAAGTTTTCTTTTTATTTATTTATTTATTTATTTTTTCCCCCAAAGCCCCAGTAGATAGTTGTATGTCATAGTTGCACAGCCTTCTAGTTGCTGTATGTGGGACGCGGCCCCAGCATGGCCGGAGAAGCGGTGCGTCAGTGCTTGCCCGGGATCCAAACCCGGGCCGCCAGCAGCGGAGCGCGCACACCTAACCACTAAGCCATGGGGCCGGCCCGGAGCTGTACATTTTTTTATTTTATTTTTTTTATTTTTTGTGAGGAAGATCAGCCCTGAGCTAACATCCATGCCAATCCTCCTCTTTTTGCTGAGGAAGACTGGCCCTCGGCTAACATCTGTGCCTGTCTTCCTCTACTTTATGCGGGACGCCACCACAGCATGGCCTGACAAGCGGTGTATTGGTGCGCGCCCGGGATTGGAACCCGGGCCGCCAGCAGCAGAGCGCGCACAGGTAACCGCTATGCCACGGAGCCTGCCCTGTACGTTTTTTTAAAAACGCTATTAAAAAAGTCAAATTGATTCTCAAAAAGATTTCCCCCTTGACAATAAATCAGGATAATGTTTTAAAGAGGATAAATTAAGGGAACTAGTTCTCTTTTATGTAATTTAGGGTTTTTAATTCATTGAGTTGCTAGGCCTCCACTGCTACACTCTGCACTGTGACTAGGGAATCAGAGAAGTTTAGTTCCTTGAGGGCCTTATGGCCGCCAGAGCACAATTGCCTGATGTGAGGGTGAAGGGACCTGAGGCCTGGAGAGGTCCAAGTGACTGCTGAAGTGACAGCTGAAGCCAATAAGGAGTCATGGGATCACACGTCTGGTTCTTGTTAGAGAAAGGATCTCTGTCATCCTTCATAAGACATAAAGTTATCCTTTAGAGATGTGTACACACTGGATGTGACTCATGTATTTAGCTAATGAATTGGACTTTCAGGGGAATTCAGGGGAAATCTTCCTGGATGGTTAGAGGAATTTAAACAGCATTTGAATTCAGCTCTCAGTTCATCAGTCCTGCTGTAAGGAATTGCAGGCGTAATCACAGTGCAATGCAAAGAGCAAGTAAATTACAGGACCCTAACTTACCAAGTGCCTATGAGATTAAACCATGAGGTCAGATTTGTAGAAACCCACAATGACTTACATTATATAAGAGAATGATCCCACGTGGTTGCTCCTCCTAGTTATGACCAGAACAATTGAGCTGGAGCAGGAGACTTGACTCACGTCAAATCGTGCCTGCGTTTGTCACACACTGACCGCTGTGATGTATTCACGATAGTGTGAGTCCTCATTATTAATTGAGATCTCCACACTCTGACCTTTAAGGCTTCTTCTCAGCTCTCTTATGCTACCGTGCAAGCTGGTGTTGAAGAGGCGGCGCTCACTTCTGCTTTCCTGCGGCTGGAGGGTCTTAACCACATGTCACTCTGCTGTCTTCTAACATGACATCATTGCTGTGACGTGTTCCCAGTCATGCTACACTGCCAGCTGAGGATGTAGTGTTGGCTTTCCTCATGGTTGCCTCCCAGGGCCGATGATGTAGGGAGTACTTTGGATTTTATGAACTTTAGTATTGTCATTATATCAAGGTCAATTAGGAAATTTATGAAATGTACAAATTCTAATTCAGCTTATCCTGTTTCAAGCAAATTCAAAAGAAGCCGTCATTTATTAATTTTTGGCTGGTGTTATGGACCAGTCGTTTGACTTGGGATACACATGAAGCTTCCATCATTGATTATATTTCTTGACTATAATTGCATATAATAAAAATAATGCCTATAGCTGCTGAGAATAAAACTCTTTTTTTAACATAATGTTTTCCCTTTACAGTGCAATAGAAACACTTATAATTCTTATATAAACCAACTTTAGTAGTTGAGCCCAGTACCTCATACATATTAGTGTGAATTCTGTGGTAAATCAGCTTCAACTTGTTCTCATTTATTTAAAGCAAGACACATGTATTTAAGTGGCTTTAAAAAATGTTTTCCTAAGTACTACAGAATATTTTATGACATTGCCGGTGTTCACCGTTTCTTGAGCAGCCTCAGGGAGTCGAGCGTATCAGGATGTGGCGCTTGCCAGTCTCTTTGGTTTTCAGAGGATTCGTTTGTGTTTGCACAGCGTTCATTGCTCTGTTTACATTTCCAGTGTGAAGTGCCAGAGGGTGGGCTGGTTCCCAAGTCTCTGTACAGGACTGCGGAGGAGCTGGAAAACGAAGACCTAAAGCTCTGGACCGAAACCATCTACCAGTCTGCAAGTGTTTTCAAAGGAGCCCCGCATGAGGTATGCCCTCCATGACGAATGCGCAGGGTGGCTGCGGGCCTCTCTTCCGACAGAGATTCTTCAGTGGTTCTTGCCGATAGGATTCAGTTTAGAAGAATCAAGTGCTTTTTCTGGTCTTGGTCTTTAGATTTTTGTTGACACGTGGTCTTCGTTTGGGTAAATGTCGACACCAAAGAACAGGCACCTCTCAGAATAGAAAGTAGCTGTGCTTGGTCAGAGCACCTGGAAAGGAGAGCAGGTCTCTTGACCTCCGTTTTACTAGGGACTCTTCACACAGAGGGATGAAGAGCAAGTCTTTCCTTGTGGGAAGATTTTTGACTCTTAAATTTAGTTTATTTAATGATTATATAGAACCAATTTCATTTTCTGTTTTTTCTTGACTGGATTTTGGTTATTTATATTTTCTAATGAATTTGCCCATTTTTGTGAGTCTAATGGAGTGAAGAGAAACCAGCACATCTCTGTTTTCCCTTCTTGCTGTCACATTTTGGTGCAGGAGCAAGAGTATTGCTGTATTTTTATCTATACTGTGTGTGCTATAACATCGTGAGTGACTGAGGTGTGAGGGGCTGACAACTGCGTTACCCTTTCCTGAGTTCCAGGGTGAGGTCTGTGGCTCCGAGTTGTTGGAGAGGACGAAGCACTTGGTACAGAGCGGGTGTTCAGTGAGAATGGGCTGCTGGCTCAGGCCAATGGGGTTGGCCAGGAGCGGACCCCTTACTGCCTCCTGCCACTTGTCCTTGCTGGTGCATCTCGGTATAGCCAGCCTGCTGCTTGTGGGGCAAGTAGATTCTGTTGCTGTGGTTTGAACAGGCGGAGACAGATTTGGTGTGTCCACTTCATAGATTCTGTAGGGGGAATCTCCAATTTTCATACTGTGTCTGGAGGATTATTTGTATTAATTTCTTGTTTGGAGGGTGGGCTTGAGAAGGCGGAGTTCTGGTTTGTCTTTTCTTGGGTAGCTGTCGCTCTTTTCCCTGGTGGAGAACTTGTGGCATGATGTTTCTTGAAAGTCACAGGGTATCTGTGAAAACGTGTAGCCAGGTTTTCTACATCAAAACCATAAAAACTTCAGTTTTGCTTTAGGGGTTAAGTAAAGCACAAGTCACAGAGAGTGATACCCCTAAAATGAAGGCTGAATTAAATGTCCCCATTGTAAATGTGGGAAGAGGGTGCCTGTCAGCAGAGCGGGGCTAAGTCTCAGGAGAGCTCCGCCCCTGGGGAGCCACTTTGCTGAAGAAGGAGAGTGGGCTGTGTCATTAGTGCCACTGCTATTGTTAGACGTGACTCTTCTGCTTTATGGAATCTGCTCTTTAAGGAAATTCTGAAGTGCTGTTTTAGTGGTGAGAAGTGACAGTGGTGGAATGGAAAAAAGAGCCCGCTTGACGAGAGGCGAAGTGCTGAAGAGACAGCAGATGTGCGCAGAGGGCTCACCAGGCGTGCTAGTGGGAAGGCAGGGTGCACACAGGCCCTGGCTTCTGCCAGAATTGCTTAGTGACTACATAACTTTTTACAGCTGGTTTTAATCCTCACATCCCTGCCACAGTAATCTTCTGAAACTAAAACTTTGATCATTCCCTGCTAGGAATCTTTATATGGGCACCGTGTCAAGTTCAGCTTTTAGGTTGGCACTCAACACCCGAGGCCCGTCCCGCATCCCGCATGCCACATGGCTCCTCTCTGTCCACCCAGCCCCAGCTGCCACTGTCCCTTGCATGAGCCTCTGTGCAGAGGCCGGCCTCCGTCCCTGTGCCCACACCCTCCCCCTGCTTGGGACACTTCCTCTTGGTGCTCCGTGTGCTCTTTGTTTAGCTTTCACCTTCTCTGGGACCTTCCCTGTGCTCTCCAGCCTAGAACCACGGAACCACTTCTGTACCATCTTGTGTTATTTCTGTTTTGTATTATTAAGACTTTTTTTTACAGCCAGGCCCTGGTATTTTAGAGTGCTGTCTAGAGATCATGTAATGGGGAATCTTGGACTGAGGGGTAGCTAATGAAGAGCACAGAGCTTGGCACATAGCACGTAGCAGGAACCACTGGTTGAAAGAAGGAAGAGTGAGTGGGAAAGCTGGGTGGTTGGATTATGGATCTGGGTGAAGAGAGCTGCTGATAGGCCGGACGCCTCTGCCTGCCTCCCACACACACACAGCTGGGCTGAAGGCTCCTGGAGGGACGATGCTGCCACAGCGTGCTCACGGGGCCTCAGGCCTACCATGGTTGGTTGATGCAGTCTCTTTCTCCAGATTCTCATTCAGATTGTGGATGCCTCTTCCGTGATCACTTGGGATTTTGATGTGTGCAAAGGGGACATTGTCTTTAACATCTATCACTCCAAGAGGTCGCCACAGCCACCCAAAAAGGACTCCCTGGGGGCGCACAGCATTACTTCCCCAGGAGGCAACAACGTGCAGCTGATAGACAGGGTCTGGCAGCTGGGCCGTGACTACAGCATGGTGGAGTCACCTCTGATTTGCAAAGAAGGAGAAAGTGTGCAGGTAAGAAGTCGGTGATTCTCCACAGCTTGTTTTGTCTGGAGAGGAAAGAGTGTTTTGCTTCCTTCCTATCCTGCGTGGCTGGTGCTGTTTGTCTGTGGAAGAGCGGTTAGGGGTGTCGGGTTTTAGTTACGTCAGGGTGACTCGGGAAGCCAAGTGAGTCTTAGAAGAGAAAGAACTCAGACCTGAGCAGTGGTTTTGGGCAGAATCCATGACTTATATCTAAAGTGCATGAGTTGTCTTGAGAAGTATTTTCACAGAAGCGACACGGGAAGGAAGGAGAAGGCATTATCCGTGCACACACACAGCTGGGATTCAGAAGACTTCCACAAAGATGTCCTTTGACTGTGTTGTGTTTGTGTCTTTCAAAGGAAAATTACCGCAAATAGAAGTGAGAGAAACAAGTACTTAGAGAACTATTAACTGTCATTACTGAGCATTCTGATTGTTTTAAAATGCTCTGTCAGTTCATATTTAAGTTTCATCCAGTTATTTTGAGTGCTTGTGCTTAGAGTGGTAGTTCTTGGGTGCTTCTGGCCTTCATAATAGATGTGTAATTTTGCTCCCTTTACAGTTTTCTGGGATAAATCTCTCAGTGTTTTGGTGGTCTTAGAAGCAGAGTAAAAGAGAGTATTTTATTCGTTCTAAAAATAATGAGCATTTTAAGCTGTATCACAGTCTTTAATTCCAGAATTAATGGAGAAAGCAGTTTTCACAGATTGACATTCTACTTTAGATTGACATTCTTTTAACACAGAACGTGTTAGTGAGGTCATTGGAAGTGTGTCAGCGAGAGCATTGCCTGGTCCAGATGACCTTTTCTGACTCCCTCGAGACTGAGTGAAGGGCCCCCCAAGCGCTCCCATCCTGCCAGGCACCTGCTTCCGGTGTGGGCTTCGTCCCTTGAGGCTGTGAGTCCTTGCCATGGACAGACAGACAGAGAGAGTCCCCGTGGCCTTCCCAGCACCTAGCAGAGGCCTCGCCGCAGGGCTGGTACTCAGGTGGAGGCAGTGTGGGACCGGCCCTGATAATGAATCAAAGTAGCAGGTCCTTCACCTGTCGAGATGGTCAGTGATCACTGCTGAATCCGAGTGGACTCAGGGAGGGCTCCCCTTGGCATTTGGCAGACCCACTGTAGGATAGGGACTTGAAAGTAAGTCCTCCTCAGCTGGCACTGCCTGACTTGTTCCAGGGCTCACATGTGACACGGTGGCCGGGCTTCTACATCCTGCAGTGGAAATTCCACAGCATGCCAGCGTGTGCTGCCACCAACCTGCCCCGGGTGGACGACGTGTTGGCCTCCCTGCAGGTCTCTTCTCACAAGTGTAAAGTGATGTACTACACCGAAGTGATCGGGTCTGAGGATTTCAGGTACGGGCTCCTCTTTCAGGGGGTGGCTGCCATGTGAGTCTGGTGTGGTCAGAGGGAGGCTCAGCAAGTATAGCGGGTCTTAGGTACAGGTGGGAGTGGCCTTTGGGCCGTTTGTTGTTGCCAATTCACTGTCATCTGTGTGCGAGGCCAGTGGGGTGCCATGTCTCTGGGGGACCCTGCCCAGCTGTCTTGCTTTGTAAGTGCTGCTGGGGAGCAGAGTCAGGGGAACAGAGAGCAGGATTGGCCAGGAAGTCCAGAAGGCAGTGTGGGAAGTGGGGTAGCCCATGGTGGGGTCCTCACGCCTCATCCCCTCCCTGTGCTGTTTGCAGAGGTTCTATGAGCAGCCTGGAGTCCAGCCACAGCGGGTTCTCCCAGCTGAGCGCCGCCACCACCTCCTCCAGCCAGTCTCACTCCAGCTCCATGATTTCCAGGTAGTGCCGCGATGCCTGTGCCCAGTGTGCAGAGGGGACGGCCGTGCCTCCTTGGACAGCCCGCTGTGCTCCGCCCACTGCCCGCCTGCCCAGCGGCCACATTGTGCAGACTCCTCTCACCCTCTAGGTAGCAAATAGCTCTCCAGATGGTAAATGTAGTCATTGATCCCAAAACTGTCTCGACAGGTAGTTTTAACTCTAACTGTAATTCAATAGCCATAGGTTTTCTATACAGTGCACAAAATCAAACCAGAGCACAAGGGCTCCCTTGAAAGAAAAGTAGTTTATATACCAATTAAGAGGTTGACTTTGTCTCAAATGTTGATGCAAAAAATGTTTCCAACAACCTCCACGCTGTCCCTTAGTGGATGAATTCCTACACCATCCTTCAGAGGTGGCCCCACCTTCCTACGTGGAGCGGAAGCTGCCAGCTTGTTCCCCTAAACTGCATCGCGGTCCTCGTCTTCTCCCTGCTGTCAGTCGACACGGTCCAAGGATTGAGTGATGGCCCGCTAGGTACCTTTTCCTCTGAGCAAGACGCTGCTTAAATTGGAAGGACGCAGAGGCAGCCTGTGGGAGCACCCAGCCTGGCTCCTGGTGGCCACATGGATCCACTGTTCTAAAGTGGGTGCTGGCGGGTCGGGGGCTCCCCGTGATCCACGAAAAACATCGCCATCATTAAACGTGATTTTCTGTTTCCTCCTTTTCACATCTTTTTGATACTTTGAGAGCAGGATTTTTCTGTATGTGAACTTGGGCAGAGGGGATTCTTTCCCTTTTCCTTCTGGTGTGTTGCTCTTCCTATCTGCAGAATGTTAGTCCTGAGCTCCTTCTAGATTTACCTCCCTAGTGCCTCCTCATAGCTTAATGGCATCAGAGCCCAGGCGGTCCTTCTAGTCACTAGAAGGGTATTTTGAAGACAGAATAAGTCACATTTGCCATTTTGAAACTATCCAGTGTTCGTTCTAGCTAACCAGCGTTCTCACTGAGTGGCCACTCCAGGATAGCACATGACCTGTAGCAGCCCAGGGTCTTTGTGAAAGGAAATTGCAGGCTTGTGGGGATGTGTGTCTGTGTGTGTGTGGGGAGGGGTGTGGGGGGGGTGGGGCACGTAGAAACTTAGTTCGTATTACAAAGGATTCTTCACAGAAGCAGATCAGAATATGAGATTGGTTTGGAAGCAAATCAGAATATGAGATTGGTTCGCCTTTTACATTTTCTATTTGATTCCCAATTACAAAGCCTGGTCTATCTTTGTAGATAGACCCTAGGCCCTCAATTTTCACCTTTTTATGGGAAAGGCAGGTTATTTGTGAATCTGTCTGGGTGTTGCATCAGGTTTGTTTCCGTGATAAAGATGTTATGTGTGGTGGTGTGTGTGGCAAGTCTGTGCTTTTAAAGCCATGTGCCAAACCCCACACCCACACGGCCGTTACGGCGTGTGCGATAGGCATGTAAGCCCTGGGTTGCATTGCTGTCGATCTATTCTGAAGGTGGGTGGCCGTGTGACTGGAGAGCTGTGTGGGGGGGTGTGGGCACCCCATGGGGGAGGCATTGGGGGGCTCGGCAGCAATGGGGCAGCCTTCTTGCCCAGTCTGTGAAGCTCTGGCTGCCTGTACACTCAAGACTTTCTTGGGCTTCTTCCATGATTGCCGACCTTCCCAGAGCACAGCTGTGCATTTCCTTTGAAAAGATAAGCTCATTGTTGGCCCCTGAAGCCTGTTTCCAGAAAGTACAGTAGGGTTGGTTAGTGCGTCTGTGCTGCTTCCAGTCAGTGCTTCCTGTTTCCAAACTATAAGGACCTGAGATGGTCCCTTCTTTCTCTTTCTTTCTCTCTCTCTGTGTCTCAGATGGCGATTTTGCTGACAGCTGCCAGAAAGTGCTTCACTGGACAGTCCACACCAGCCCAGGGATGTTGTAGAGCTATTTGAATCGCAGCCACCTCCCCACTCCCCCTTTGAAGATCTGTTCTTTTTAAGTTGATTCAGAAGTGGCACTGTTTTATCCCCAAAGAATTGACTGCATCTTTTAGAGCTCAAAGCACATGACTGCACAGACGCTCACAGGGTTTCCCATGAGTAACACACCACCCGCTTCCCCTGGGAAGGGGCTGGGGACAGAGACGCTCAGATTTGTGGTTGTCATGTCTCTCTCCTCTTGGTGCCCTACACTCTTTTTAAAATGCTGCTGTCTTTTCCCCTTTTTCCAGCACTAATGATTCTTATGGTTTCTCCCTCTATTACTAATGTCTTAATTCACTTTCCTTCCTAAATTCATTATTTGCATATCAAATTCTGTAAATGTTTTGTAAACATATTACCTCACTCTTGGTAATACAATACTGATAGTCTTTAAAAGATTTTTTTATTGTTATCAATAATAAATGTGAACTGTTTAAAGAAAAGAAGGTCTTTTTCTTACTGTGAAGCGGCAGTCCCCTTTGAAGAGTTTGACATTCTTAGGAGACTAGATACTGGAGAGGGGAGAGGCCCTGGAGCCAGAATGCCGGTGTTCTGGAAGTTGGAGAAGAGTGCCGAGCTTGTGCAGGACCGTTTCGCAGGAGCAGACAGGTGGCAGTTGTGTGCTGCTGCCACAGAAGTGGGAGCGGTGCTGGCAGCTCCCTCGCTTCTGTAAGAAGACGTGCTGTCGTTTTTCTTCAGCTCCGCAAGATCAAGCACAACTCATGGCATGGTGCCTGGTGTGATGTTTCTTTAGTAATAAAATGGCTCTTTAATCAGGTGGCCTCAGAGAAAGTAAAATGGGCCACCTTATGCCCTATGGACAACTAAATTGTATCCTTAAAAATGGTTAAAATGGCAAAGTTTGTTATATATATTCTACCACAATAAAAAACCCCTATAGACATTATTTACAGTAAAACTAGGTGATAAGTTATCCCCATAAATGCCAAATAGAGGCAGGAACCACCAACAGTCACAAGATCCATGTGTTAAACCATGGAGTATCTGATGGACCGTAGAGCAGGGCACATCAGAGCCCGTCGGTGCCCGGTGGAAGCACAGGGGCCAGTTTGAGCACAGCAGGTGGGCCAGGCCGGGGGTTGTGCTCCTTCCAGTAGCTGGTGAATGCCAAGGGCCACTGTTGGGAGGTGTGTAGGGTTGGAGCCTCTAGCCCCTCTGGACTCCCCAAACTGACCTGCCAGGGCTCCCTTCTAGGAAAGGACCCCACACTGAGGAAGACTGCTTGGAGTAGAATAAAAATTAAGCAGGAAGGGACAGGAAGTAAAGAGAAGGCCAGGCTGAAATTGGGAGGGCAGTAGCCAGGAAAGCTCTGGAAGCAATCGGACACATTTTTTAAACACTTCGCAACAACAACAGAAGAGGGAGCTCTATAGAATTAGAAAAATTTTCTTGAAGCCCACTTCATTCCAAAAGTTTATGAAATATTTTTACATAAAAGTAAACATCAGAAGAGTATGCAAGTCAAGTCCATACAAAGCTGAGAATAGGAGAACATCCTACGATGAAGGCAAGCCAGAAAGATGTGCCTGCAAACAGACAAAAAACAATTCGTTTTTTTAATTTTATTTATTTATTTTTCCCCCAAAGCCCCAGTAGATAGTTGTATGTCATAGCTGCACATCCTTCTAGTTGCTGCATGTGGGATGTGGCCTCAGCATGGCCAGAGAAGCGGTGCATCAGTGCGCGCCCGGGATCCAAACCCAGGCCGCCAGCAGCGGAGCGCGCGCACTTAACCGCTAAGCCATGGGCCCAGCCCAACTCGTTTTTTTAAATGAACTAAGAGACATAAGGAAAATATGAGACATGAAAGAAAAGCATAAATTAGAAAAGCTCAGAAATGAGGTGACAGAACTCAAGAAAGAATGGGAAATGAATGAAAAAAATCATTTCAGAAATTTAGAAGGAACACAATGAAAAATACAACAAATAATGCTTTAAGAAATGAAAGGTGCAAAAGAGGAAAATTGTGTAAAGCAAAAAGGAATTAAAAGATGCAGAGATTTAGAGAGAGAGACACGTATTGAAGAGAAGCAGAGAAGACCAAACATAAGGGTGATATTCGGAGGATGAGCCCCTGAGAAGGACCAACACAAAGAAGTGTTTAAAAGTGCCGGGTTCTAAAGTAAGAAATCCCTGAGGCATCTGGGGAGAAATCAGGCTTTTCAAAGGCTGAGCTTTATGCAGGGAGAAAATGGAGTAATTGAGATTTTCAAGGAAAGAAAGAGTGAGCCAAGGAATTTACATCCAGCAAAACTGACAGTCGGGTGTGCAGGGCACCGACGAAGGCAGCCGTGCGCAGCCTGCCCGGGAGCGCCGCTGCCACAGGCCCCTCCAAGGGCTCGGGGAGCATGAGCCTCAGACGGCTCGTGTGCGGGAGGCACGAGGACCCGCAGCTGTAGGTGTGTGTCGCCTGTAGAACTGAGGCTGGTGAGGTCATAGAGGGGACGAGGGTGGTACCTGTTGGCTACGTGCTCTGACAGAGTCTGTATCTGACAACTTTTAAAATGGGAGGAGAATGGGGAGAGCATAGGCAAAAAATTGTAGGTCTTGAGTCATCATATTAGTGGCAGTATTTACATGGTTCTTCTGAGAGTCTTGGTAACGTGTGTGTGTTTATACGTGTATGGGTACGTGTGTGTGCACACATGCCTGTCTGCCTAGAAACAATGACCAACCCAGTGACCATGAGAGTCCCCAGCACGTGGATTGTGTTATTGAAATACCTTCCTCACCTACAGCCCTGTGGTGAGGGGTAGGGGGGCATGGGGCAGTTCTAGTTCATTGAGTCATTGATAAGACTTGTGTGCTGTTTCTGTATCTGTTTCATTTTACAATAAAAAAGTTTGTCGTCGTTTTTGTGTTTTGTTTTTAGTTAGGCTTTAGACAGGTTAGTTTGCCTTAAAGGAAAGTTCTTTTACCCAAATCACCAGGCAGGACTTCTGGGGTCTGTGGCCCGGACACCGTGTCCCAGGATGCACCTTTTAGTAGCTGACGTCTGAGTCTGTGTTTGTTGTGGCCATGCCCAGGACAGCAGAGCAGAGCACATGGCTGGCGGCGAGTGACAGCGAGGCCCTGCTGCTCTCGCAGAGAAGCTCTGAGCCGGGCCCAGTACTGCTCTGCCCCTTGCCGCATGCTGCCTGCGACCCGTCCTTTCTGTTTCTTCAGATAGAAGCAGCTGGACTGTTTCCCACTCTGACCTTGCCTTGGGGTTTAAGAACTCAGTCACCAGGACTCAGTTTTGACAGCGACAGAGAAGCAGTCATGAGCCCTTGGATGTTCAAATTACTGAGCCCCTGTGCACCAGCCCCCACCACTCCATCATAGTGAGGGATACGGAGGAGAGGAAAGTCTGCTGCCTGCTGTCTCTGGGCTATTTCTGGGAACCAGCGAGGGGCAAGAGGCCTGGCTGCAGAGAGGAGGAGCCTGGCAGCTCCATCTATAGGGCATTCCAGATTTCCATGGAGTTCAATGGTAAGTCTGCCCTCCCTCTTGCAATGCCAGTCTGCACCCATGATCTGACAGCTCCTGCTGCTACAGCCAGAGGTGAACCCAAACTCAGCCCCCCAGGTAGAGACCCTTTCTTTCCAGCCCGCTGAAGGAGGGCCCGGCTCCATCCGTCCAGGCATTCCTCCCCGGCACCACCTTGTGGCCACATCGGAGACGTGCATTCCCCGTCACGCAGCTGGGGTGAGGATGATGTCTTTGCTCCCTGTGGCTCTGCTCTTGGAGTCAGAGCCAGGGGAGGAGATTCTCCAGCCCTCATGTTTCCTGAAATCTTACCTCAGAAGGGGTGTGATGGTTAATTTTATGTGTCAGTTTGACTGGGCCATGCAGTACCCAGATGTTTGGTCAAACATTATTCTGGGTGTTTCTGTGGGGGTGTTTTTTGGATGAAATTAACAGTTAAATGGGTAGACTGAGTAAAGCAGGCTGCCCTCCTTAGTGCTGGTGGGCCTCATCCAATCAGTTGAAGGCTGAACAAATAGAACAAAAGGCTGACCCTCCCCCAAGTAGAGAGGATTCCTCCTGCCTAATGGCCTTCGAACTGGGATATTGGCTTTTTCTGCTGTCGGACTGAAACACTGGCTCTTCCTGGTCTCAAACCTGCTGGAATTGTACCATCAGCCCTCCTGCAAGTCTCCAGCTTGCTAACTGCAAATCTTGGGACCTGTTAGCCTCCATAATCATGTGAGCCAGTTCTCTGTAATAAATTTCTTTCTATATATACATCCTGTTGATTCTGTTTGTCTGGAGAACCCTGACTAATACAGGAAGTGTGCTGCAAAATCCTAGAATTGCCAAGCCTTGGCTTTTACCAAAAAAATGGTTAATCTTGAATCATATCTCTTTGGTTTGTGTTTGCGTGTGTATTTTGGTTTGGGATTTCTTCTGTCAATAGGCTTATCCTTCTGAATGTAGAATAAAAATGTAGATTGTTCAAGCTGGGGGAAAAGCTTAGAGTGATCTCTTTCCAGCTCTTCCAGCTCGAGGAAGGTGAGGCCCAGAGAGGCGAGGGGGCTGTTCCCTGAGCAGGCGGCTGTGAGTCCCACTGCTGAGGGACGTGGGGGAATCCATGTGGCCTCCCTGAGCCCCACTTCCTATCAGTCAACAGTGGAGCCGAGTCCAGAGATCTCCATCCTGCTGTCGCTGTGACTGATCATGAAATGCGAGGACATAAGTCATCTCATTGGGATCGTTATCAAGACAGAACAAGTAAATGACCGTTAGATCATGCTGTACACTTTCAGTTGCTTTGCAAATGTGAGGGGTTTGGGATATGCCAAGGACTTGGGAGCATAGCTCTGTGCCCGTGCCTGTGGGGAGGGTCCTCTGGGAAGAGAACGTGCTGGGCATCCAGTGGAAGACAAGCCACTGAAGGAGACATCAGAAAGAGCAACTTCAAGTTAAACAAAGTAAGAAAGCTTTACAATACACTTTCTTCCCTTTTCAGGAGAGGAAATGAGATGATCACAGGGGATGAAGTTAAAATGTCACCCAACTGCCCCTCGGCTCAGCCGCCCATGGGAATGGGAGGACAGACAGCCTGTTGGGGTTGAGAGCCAGGGCCTGTGGAGGGAGATGGCGGGCCCAGGAGAGCTGCACCCAGGCCTTCTAGCACCTTCTCTTGGCCCCACACACCCTCTGGGGGGACTCAGCCAGCTGGAAGGCATGTGGGGGCATAGCTCCACGGACTCACGAGGCCCAGTGTCTGCTTTGTTCACAGCTCTGCCCCTGTCGGGACCTAGGCACAGGGTAGACACCCCGAAATATCCTTAAGGTAGAAGTGGAATGAATCGTAGGTTCTGGCCTTGCAGGTGGCTGTATTCTGACCTCATGGGCCTAGCACTTTTGCCTTCCTCCATTAAAAAATGTTAATGAGTATATTTTACAACTGGGTTGATATAAAGATGCATATAAACCT